ATCTACATATGTAAACGAGCGTTTCTTTTAATTACGTTTATTATTACTGATTTGACTGATTGATTTAACGTTCTGATTCTGGCTGTAATATGGATGTTGAGTTAGAAGTTAGGATGTGATCGGATGTGCCTTAGGCGGCCTCCTCCTCCTCCTCTTCACCCTTGCCGGTGAGCATCTCGATCAGGGCGGCGGTGTCGATCTGGTTCTTGTCGTCGACCACCATCTGATCGTAGGCATCATCAACCTCCTTCATGGTGAACTTGTCACCGAAGTTCATGAGCATTTCGCGGAATTTGTCACCGTCGATGAGACCATCGTTATCGAATGTTTTGAAGGCAGCAATAACAACTTCGTCTTCATCGTTGGCACCGGAGGTGGCCATGCGGTTGGCGAACAGGGTCAGCAACTGGGTGAAGTTGATCGGACCCGAGGCCTCGCCCAGCATGGCGTCCAACTCCTTGTCGTTGGCGATCTTGCCGACGGAGTCGAAGGCAGCGCGCAGATCGTTCTTGCCAATAATACCGTCCTTGTCGGCATCCATGAGTTGGAAGGCCTATCGATCCCGCACAGAAACAGAGAGAGAGATAGAAAGAAAGAGCGGGTTGGTGACTTGGTCTTTGGACAAGTGCGATAGATGCCTGGATGGTAGTATGACGGGATGATGGGATGATGGGATGACGGGATGTTGGGATGGGTCTCGAGTGATATGCGACTGATGATAACACATGAGTGCCGCCCAAAACTCACCTCCTTGAACTCGGCGATCTGCTTCTGGGAGAACACAGAGAAGACCGAGGAGCCAGCGCGCTTCGACTTCCTGGAGCCGCGGGATCCGCCCGACGCTCTCTTCGAACCAGTGGCAGATGCGGCCGGGGCAGGAGTGGCAGCTGGTGCCGGGGTTGCTGCCTCGGATGCGGCCTCAGAAGCGGTTTCGGAAGTACCACCCTCTTCCTTGGTCTTCTTCTTCTTAACCTTCTTCTTCTCATCGGCCTGGGGAGAGAAAAAGGGGATTTATTAGTAGGGATTCGGGGCCAGGAGGGGGATTCTAGCCAGTCATTAGTCGTCATTGTCCGTCTGTAGCTGACGCCTAAAAGTTCCGGTTCAGGAAGTTGTACTCTTGCAGTAAATCCACTTTTCGTTGTAGGGATGCTGGTAAGTTATCCGCCTTAAGGGATCTACCATTGGAATTATGTTCGTAGAAGGTTATCCCTCAAGGAGGTTTACCATTTAAGGGATGCCTCTCAATGGGTCTCCCCGACTAGGCCAGAAAATATGTATCTGCGGCGAAAAGTTTTCCACTGTTCTATAAATAAACCGGACGCATATTACGTAAGCCTCCGCCGTGCGCCACTTGCTGTCTCGCTCGCTCCCCGACACGGATATCGGATTACGTTACAGACGCGTAACACTCGGATCGGATCGAATCGGATGGGATCGATCCATTTATAGAACTTTCTGCACTATTCTCACTGCATACTCATACAAAAGGTGAATCGGGGTCACCGTGATTTAGAGTTATGGTTCACTTCATATTCATATCCTCGTGGTCTTTCTCGAATGCAAACGATTCACGGCACTGAGCGGCATTATCCTTGCTGCATATATCCAGGCACTGGGATCCAGTTGGGTTCGGTTCGGTTCGGTTCAGTTGGGTTGCAGTGATATTCCGGGACGAGTCCTTACCATGGTGCTGAACTTTGATGTGTTGTCTAATCGAGTCGAGCCGTCAGAGCACACTGAATCTCTGGCTGATTTTATCGCCAAGACAATGATGTTTTAAGAGCTCGGATGAGCTCTTCCTCTTCCAACCATTGGGGTCGCTCGTGGCGGTTCGGGCCGCCTTCGTGGATCTTCGGGCGCCATTCGCTGTATCCGTATCTGCAATATTCGTGCTGCCTTTTTTAGTATCTGCAAGGCGAGGTCCGCCCAGGAGATCGGCGGGGGCTGGCGGCCATATCTATGTAGATATAGCCATGGCTATGGCCTATGGTGTAGCTGTATCCGAGGGGTTTACTCATCGGCCGCTGCTCTAATCAAAAATCTAATTTTAAAGGCAGTGAAAACGCTGTGGCTTTGGCTTTCGGGCACCAGCAGCCTATACATATGTTCGGAATTTATTTCGGGGCGATTCGGATTGGTTCGTATCCGCAGCTCTCTGTTGTGGATACATTTCCCCATCCCCAGCCTCAGATTCTGTTCCGTTCTGTTTTGTTTTCTTTTACTCTGCTCTTTGCCAGCGGCCACCTCCCAAAGGTGTCCTCTTGCGCTGAAATCACCTACATTTTCCTTGGCCCGCGGACAGCGCACATATATCCAACATACGAGTATAGCATATGCTATGTCTATTCAGGCCTATATACTCGATGTTTTGCTCGCCTACGTTTCTATTTTTCTTTTTCTGTTTCTGTTTTCGAAGTGCCCCGTACATTGTGCAATATGAAGAGCGGCGAGAATTCCAAATCTATAGATCTGTATATACACGGCGATCGGGCGGATTTCGTGTCGCATAAATATCCAACGAACCCGATATTGGACCAGAGTTATTTCGGCAACAAATGTGGAATAAACATCTGACTTTATCTATATGCTAGTCATCCGTGGACATTGCATAACAACGGGAAGGCTGTAGGATTTCCATTTCAGATCAACTTTGAGCACCACGTCATGATACATTAACCTTGTTCTTTAATATTCTATGTATTACAATACTTGAGATTATTTAGGCGGTGGGCAATATTTCGGTGCTGTCAATTCTAAATACCTAAACAGTAAAATTGTGTACAACAGGAATCAACAGATTGTGTATTCCTAAAGATAACTAAAGATGAAATCCAATTTTAATTGTTGCAAAATATTATCCACATAGTGTACATATATTTTGATAAAAATAAACATTCTCCACATTCTGTGACTTAATAGATTTATATTTTGGCGCGATTATATCGTTTCAGTAAGCATTTGCCTTTCCGTAGTAAATACTTTAATAATTAAAATAAAGCAAAACATTTTTCAAAACAATATTCATATGATGTCATCTTTGCCACCTGAATTCAATCCCCGCGCTGGCTAATATGGCTAATATTATAATTGATGAAGGCCTTATGCAAAAATATGAAACGGAAAATATCTCAATTAACGAGGGGATCCGTGCGAGGAAGCCTTCATAATTCATCGATCAGACATAATGAAAATCGATTTCGGCTGCAGTCTTCTTCGTGCTCCATTGAAAGTGATGTTCGGCGAAAACTCTCTTGGCGCTGCCATTTTGGCACGTAACCAGGCGACTTTTTGGCCCGGGGCCAACCAAAACAAGAATATGTAGAAGGAAAACTGCCCACAATCTAATACGCAAAGTAGCATTGAATATACGCGAATGTATAAATAGAACAAAGTGCAAAAAACGAGCAAGACGCAGTCGAAGGAATGTTAAAATTAATGAAAACTGCGGCATATGTATTCAAATTTCCAAGGTGCAAAATGTAGCTGGGAATCCTAATGGTTTTGACGCTCTTGAAGCATTGTTTATGGAGGGTTAACAATCAAAAAAGGCAAATAACAGCCTACACATAACATTTGTTTATCTCATGGGTTTCTAAATTTAAACGCCAAATCATCTTTGACGATTTACCAGGTTGGTCTGTGTGAATATACCCAGTTCCACCTGATACATGGGCGAACTTGGAGGCTGCTCTGTCGGGAGGTCGGACGTCATTGGGAATCAACTGTATTCAGTGCCCACAACGCATTCCTATCACATCTCCGCTCCGCTCCCCTCCTCACGCCTTGGCCGCCCGATGGCCGAAAATAGAAGAGCCAACGCGCACCACTGTGCTGCCCATTTCGATCTGAGGGAACAGTTTGGATTATAGCGACGGCGCTTGCTCAGTCGGTTTGTAGCTTACCGCCTTGTCAAAGTCGTTGGACATTCCCATGGAGACGAGCACCGAGTCCGGGGCCAGAGAATGCGCCTCACATATGGATCTGTGCACCTGCATCAGGGACACAAAATCCGGATTGGGTCCCTTGCTATAGTCAAAGCCAAATGCGCCAATGGTCATTATGCCCGTCAGGTTCAGGTGCTTAAGGTTGCTCCTGATGTACTGGTAGAGTGCCGGGGCATCTTTCGCCTCTATGCCGCTCTTAACTAGCGGTCGAACGATTGGGAAAGTAAGTATACAGCTCGCTGGTTTGGGGGCGCGCAACTCACCATCTTCACCGCTGGTGTTGATCTGTATGAGCACCTGCAGGGGCTCCGCAGGGGCAGGCTGTCGCTTGGACCAGGCTGCGTCCAGTTTGGTGGCCAACTTCTCGCTATCCACGGTCTGGATCATACGCAGATTTGGCACAGCGAGGACCTGCGTGAAACAAACAATGAGTTGAATACGATAAAGTTGCTGATAAGAGATAGACGCTGTTATCCAATCTTTTAGAAGCTGACCTTGTTGATCTTGTTGGTCTGCATGTGGCCTATGAAGTGCCACCTGATGTCGGGGCACTTGGCCAGTATGTCCGGGTGGCGGCTCTTCTCCTCCAGCTCCTGCACATAGTTCTCCCCGAAGTCCCTTTGCCCGGCCTCGTAGGCCTCGATTACGGCCTCCGCTGGCTTTGTCTTGCTCACTGCAACGAGCAGAGGTCTGGCAGCTTGAACTTCCTGTGTGAGAGATAATGATTTTCATATAGTAGATCACAAACAGGGGCCTTAAAGTGAACTAACTTTGGGCCGCTGGAGGAGCACCTCGTCAATGCGCTTCAACACGTGCTGCAGGCCGGCTTTCACGTCGAACTCCGCCATTGTGCGCCTTAGCATTTAACTGAGGAATGCGAAATAATATGCTTCGTATATAAGTGCAGATAAATAATAGTTATTCTACTTACGGTTGGTTAGCTCAATGATAAGAAATCACCCTTGCAAAAATAAAAACAAAACTTCGGAGCCTGCGAAATCAGCTGCTTGGCAGTGTGACCTGATCATACTAAACATACCTACAAAATACCTTTAATTTGCAATATACTGATAGAGGCGGGAAAATTCAACAGCAAAAATTGTTTACTTCTTAAACATACAAATAAAGTATTAGGTGAACAGAGTTGTCCATCGTAGTCAACATCCAATTGCCTTTGCTTTGGCAGTAAGTCTCGCCGCACTTTAGCTTTTCGAAACCCTGTGCTGGGGAGAGATGCCTTCACTGGGACGCACACAGACTCCTCGACTTCAGCCATGGCGGACGCTGTCAGGTGCGCCTGCGAGTCAGTGAACCACGTGCTGGGCTACCTGGTCACGATGCGGGTCTCCGAGATCCGGCACTGCTTCGAGCTGCTCGGAGTAGCGCACATGGAGGTGCTCGCCGGCATGCTCGCTTTCATCCTGATGCAGTTCACCAAGTTCACGGTCGTCCTGATGCTGGCCATTCTCCTGGCCTACGGCATATTCTACATGGTAAGCGCAGGTGTTCCGCTACTCTCTCCGCTCTTAACGAATAACGAATCATCCCGCAGTGGGACACTTTCTTCCCGGAAATCAGTCAGCTCGGTCGCAGGGGCATGAAGATGTTCCGCAATGTGCGCACCTCTGCCAACTTGCCTCCATTTGCTTCGGACACTGAGGAGACGCCCGGTAACTAAAACGAAAGACAGCACGCGAAGAACACTCATAATATGTATCGTTTTACTCCCCAGGAGAGTACCAAATCCGACCGAGAGGTCAGCAGTACACCACTGGCATGATGACTCCGCCGAATACCATCAACATGCCAATGCTACTGCCGGTGATACAAACGAGGAATGTCAGAAGCACAAGTCTGCAAACGGATCATAGGCGACAGGAGGAGGAGAACAAGCGGGGATCGCGTGGCAGAGGTCGCTCATCGTATCAGGAATCCCAGGATACGGATAGAAAGAACCGAAAGGAGCGACCCTACTGGCGAACTGTTAACTCTGCACTGGACAGGGAGCAGCCGTCCACATCCAAGAAAGCATATCATGGAGCCAGTGGCGGTGGCGAGTCCAGGCGGATGCCCAATGCCATGAGGATCCCGACGGTTACCAGCGGAGTGGTGGAGGTCAGGAGAACGAGTGACCAACTCAAGCGACTGCCCAATATCACAAGCGCAGAGTCGCGGCGGACAACCAAGGCAGCTGGTGGTGCCTTCGATGCCAGGAAGTTGCACCACATAACCAGTGGGGAGATCACGGAGTCCCGAAGGATTCCCAAGATAACCAGTACAACCACTGAGTCCAGATGGCTACCCCGCGGGGAAATGAAAGAATCTCGTAGGATGCAGCAAATCACCAGCAACACGAATGCATCCCGAAGATTACCCACTGTCACCAGTGGTGAGGTGAAGGAGTCCAGGAGGAGTTCGCATCCCAGCGCAGGTGGCGAGTCCCGTCGCACTTCGAATGCCCAGAGAGATCGTGACGGCGGTGGTGGGGAGTCGAGATCTCGTCGGTCGGCGGAGAAACCCAATCCCGCCCAAGGTCGCCGACACGAGGAGCCATCGAAGCAGCAGCGGAGCAACAACGCGCATTCCGGAGTGACTAAGCGGCTATTTCCGGATGATCATTTCGAGCGGCTGAAGCTGGAGAACCGGGAGTTCCAGGCCCGCCGCCTGCAAGCGAGTGGAGCTGCATTCCGGCAAAGTCTGAGCAATCCCACCTCCGAGGGAGCTCTGCTCACCAAGCAGGATAACTTCTTCGACAACCACCGGCAATCCGACAGGCGGGACATCCAAAGGAGCACCAAGTCAAGTGAGTAAACAGGGAGTTATTTATCATTTGATAAATAAATAAAACAACCCATTTGTTAACACAGGTAATCCAAAAGATGCCAATCATCGGCACCGAGCCCATCATCGCCTGCCTAATCCGCTACTTTAAAATGGAGGAGCGCAGCATGCGCAGGAAGCCCTCATTCCCCAGCTGTGAAGCCAGGTGAAACCCTCTATGGATAATTCCCCAGAGTGTTCCGTCTAATTAGTCCTCCAAAGCCTCTCAACAACCAGCACTGAATCGAGGAAGACCATCCAGTTTGGCGAATATCCCAGGACGGTCGAGCTGGCTGACGGCACTGAGGAAAGACCAAAGATCAAGAGAGTCCCGCAGTTTCCCACAGGTAGGAGTACTCCTGTTGATAACACCCAAGTGGAAAGCAGGGAATCCAGCCGTGAGCTGAATAATCCGGAGGAGTATCCCTACGTGGTGGAGATACCCGAGCAGGAAGAAGAAGAAGCGAAAAGGGGGAGCCAATCTGCCAAATCCAAAATCAAATGAGGCGTTAGAATGGAGAAAAGAACGCGGAACTCATTTTCTATGTTATCCAAATTATTGATTTTTGTAACAAATTCAAATTCAAAATACAAACGTCACGTCTGATGGGCAGCACTTGTCACCAAATCGCGTACAGCCTACCATCAGCTGTCTTGGTATTTTTACTGCCGACTTGCAGCAGGTTGGCAGCCCCTGCCGAATGTTTTTGTTTTGCATCGGAAATTAAAGTAATTTGCATTCCATAAACTTGCCAGAAATAGCGCACTTTCAAGGCTAATGCCATTCCAAATTGCTCTAGCGAGATGACCATATTCAATCTGTACATATTCGACAAGTTCGGAACCCTGCTCCACTACGCAGAATGGAATCGCACCAAGAAATCGGGCATCACACGCGAGGAAGTAAGACATTCGATCAGAAAACTGACTTGCTCATTGAATATATGTGTTTTAGGAAGCCAAACTCACCTACGGAATGCTCTTCTCAATAAAGTCCTTCGTCAGCAAGATATCGCCCCACGATCCCAAGGAGGGTTTCCTCTACTACAAGACTAATCGCTACGCCCTGCATTACCTGGAAACTCCCTCTGGCTTGAAGTAAGTTGATGAAAGTGTTCGGGAAACATGGAGAATACTCAATACTAAGTACTAAGGCCGTATCATGGAAGCGCACTTCTTGCTGAATAGCTCTTGAACTCTCCATTCCCAGGTTCGTTCTCAACACGGACACGACGGCCATCAACGTGAAGGAGCTGCTACAGCAGCTGTACGCCAAGGTGTGGGTGGAGTTCGTGGTGCGGGATCCACTGTGGACGCCCGGCACTGTGGTCACCTCCGAGCTGTTCCAGTCCAAGCTCGATGAGTTCGTCAGGCAGTCGCCCATCTTCGGCATTCGCAATATCTAAGCAAATAAATAGCTGTAAGCTCGAACTCTCATTACGTAGCTATGCAAATTCCGCCTCCGAAACTCTAAGGTCTATGTCATTAGCTCCGAATGGCGAATTGCGCTGCCAAGTGCTCCGAAATGCAGCCCGCGAGATCCGGGCTCCGGAAATGGCATGCACTTAAAATGTCGGCGGGGCCAGCGAGAAAAACTGGCCTCATGGTTGCGCAAGCGCTGTCTTTTGCTGTTGTCCACCGTCCACTGTCTACTGTCCAATAGCCACTGCTAACAAAGGGGCACAAATGTCAAAGCGGTTGCCGCAACTCGAAGGTTTTCGTCAACTCCACGAGCTGGGAAAATGACTGAATGTCTGTCTGCTGCAGGCGAACTGGGATTACACGGATAAAAATGAGGTGATTAATCCTCTGCCCATGGACTGCAATCGCAAACCAAATCAGGCAGCCAGAGAAACCTTTAAATTAAAAAGGGAATCATAAAATATTAGCCACACATGAAGCTGTTAACACTTTAGTGATTATAAGCTGGCCTATTTTGCATAGATTGTGCTAATATTTGGCAAGATGAAGCGACTTGCAGCAAATGCGTTTTTAACCGTGTACCTGCAATTTTTAACAGACGGCTCAGCTCGTCAAGGGTTTTCGCAACTATACGTTGTTGCCGCGAAAAAAATGAAAATGAAAATGATTTGCAGAATGCATCCATAATCGGGGGAGTCGCTTTGGCTTTGGCTCTGGTCGGCGTATCTGCAACGGCTGGATGAGCGGGCAAATATACAAATGCGGCTGTGGAGATACTCTTTCCTGTGCCCGACGTCCGATGTCTCACTTATTCAAAACATTTTGTGCAAGTCACAAGACGTTTGAACTAAATATGTTTTGTATGTTTTAGTGCTCGTTTTTTGTTGCTCGCATTGTCTTTGACGAATTTTAAAACAGGTTTCAACATTGCAAAAGCCACCGGCGGGACAATAAAAATGGAACCACAAAGCGGTTTCTTTTCTCCGCCATCGAAGAAATCAATTTCAAAGCCAAACGCCCTGGCCGAAGAGCGCAAATAAATCAAATGCTCGACCAACACATCAAGAGCTTGTGATGGACCATCGACAACATTCGACCCGAGAAAAACCGAAAGCACGCACAGGTTACCAAATCCACAAGATAAAGGTGCCCTTTCAAAATCGGCAATTGCGTAGACTCCCAGATGGAAGCACCAGCTCATATCACAGTTGGGTATCTGGGGGATACCAGTTCCGAAAGAGAGGCTGCATATCGCCGATCATGGGCACAGGTCTTCGATGTCACCGCATCTCCTTCCAATTAGCCGTGCATCTGGGAGATCTACGGGGGATCTACGGGGTCTTGGGGGAAGTCGGAGTAGCGGAGTAGAGGAGTACCGGAGTGCCGGAGTCGGAGCTTTCTGTTTCCATTCGCAAAAGTTACGCAAATTTCGGGCCACTCGACTAGGGTTTGCGTCACAGAAACTCCGGATCGCGGCAAGGTTATTAACGCTTAGGAATTGGAAATTGTCGCCCGGTCACGTCATTAAACGACCGCTATCTTGATTGCTTTACGATCGCTGCATCTCTTTCCCGTGCGTAATTAAAACGAGCAGTTTAACGAGCAATTGTGTCGGCTATTTATTTATCTCACAGTTTCCCCGGAGAAAGAGGAGCAGCTGCCAGAGAAGAGGCCGCCGTTGGAGGACCACCCACATGAATCTCGTGCTGCTATCAAGGCCCTTTGGCAAGCCGGAGGCGGACCTGATCCGTCAAAATAGCCATAGGCCAACCTATCGGCCAGTTGAAATATTATGCAAATTCATAGGCCTATCGCTTCCAAATTTGGCTGTTTTGCGAGCCAAATTGGGGAAATGCTCGAAAAGAAATCCCACAAATTTGGCATTAATCTTGAGACAAGGCTGAGCCCTAACGGACTAATTGCTATGCGAATCCGCTGGTTTTTTGTTTATCTCGCATTGAAAACCAGAAAAATGTAGTGACTTTTAAAAATAGCCAGCCAGAATGATTAACAACGTACAAGTTGAACGATATCCAAACTAAGAGTGTTGGCATCTAGTAAACGAAAGTAAAGTAGCACGTGTTTTAGTTTTAAAAGGAGAGATTTTATAGAACGCTGTTTGTCATTTCCTATAGATTTACTTTTGACTTAATTTGATCTTCAAATCTAAAGTCTATTGATTTCTTTCTTTTTGACTAGGAACAAAGTTGACTCAGTTCGATCGCTTTCAGCCCACTTGAAACTATTAATTACAGCTTGCCAACAGAAAACTATCTGAAAGATGAACATGTATGATATCTCCATGTAGATTTGGGTCTATGAAAATAAAGTGATTTAAATAAAATAAATCATATGCAGAGCAGAAACAAATGACTTTCAAAAGTCGGCCCTTATTTAATAGGCCTGGTTTCACTCACCTGTGTAGCCAACTGCTCCATGGAGCGCCTGCCAATGGCTAGTGCCTAATGAAATCCCGATCCAGCCCTTTTGGCACAACCTTCAATTAACTGGCCTAAATTGGGTGCTCGCTTGGTGTCCACTGGCTCGTCACCAATTAGGTGGCGATGGCGATGGCGATGACAGCCACACCGAAACGCTAATGAGATGACGGTGACACGGTAGGGTCTTGACCTGGCACTTTTTGACCATTGCCTGGGCTGTTGGTATTGGCAAAGCACTTGACCTTCTCAACGAGTGGCCTACAGGCTGAGTACACAGAGAAAAACGTTTGCGTAGAGCTCGATTTTTGGACTGAGCCGAATATGAGGGTACACGGAAATCTTTGCATAGAATATATATCTGTATTATATAGATATATTAAAGTCTACAGCCTTTTTTCTCTGCATGATATAAAATAAAATTGCTTATAAATATTCGCATAATTATCATAGTTTAGCTCCGTGAGCATACAAGTCATAAAAACAAAGTGGGGCAGGAGTAATGAAGTTTCCCGACGATCGGGAACTCCCATGCACTTGAGACTCGTGATAAAAAAGGGGCGATGCTCCAGGAATTCCCCTTGAATGTCTGCTGGCTTGAACCTTTTCAAGGTTCTCGTTCTGGAGATTGAGTTGGAGATCGGTGTACGTGCCGCGTGCACGTAGGCCAGGCCAAGTGGAGGATCTTGGGGGCTAGGCGGGGAAGTTAGTTAATTGATTAGGGAACTATGACTAGCGTCTGGGCGCGCTCCTTGTGAGATGCCCACTTCGTCACGTAGTCCAAAGTAGGGGAAACCTGTTGGCGTCTAACTCCGCCTGAACTGCAGCTACTCCCCACTCGGACGACATAAATGTGTAATAGTGCCTTGGATGGCAGTGATGGTGGTCACAACAATGGCAAGCGCCGTCTCCATTTCCCATTTCAATTTAAATATCCATTTGCATTTTAATTTCGTCACAGCCTCAAATTGTCGTTAAGTGTGACTGGTAGATAGTTTCGTTTCAGTGGGTGGGTGAGTGGAAGTCCCACCGTGGGTTTGGCACCTTCATTTGCATCTGGACTGAATAACTTGAAAATGAGATTATCAAAGTGGGGATACTTTCAGCTTAGAGAAAGACCGCTCCGTAATTGTTAAGATACATTTGAAGTGGGCACTTTGCTGCACTAGTTAACATCTTTTTCCGAGCTTTAAGTGTGTGCACATATTTATTTTAGCACATCCATCTTTTATAGGCTCCAGATGCTATTGTGCATATTGTCACCTTTCTATTATGGCCATTGTACTTCCAGGAAAATAGAAAAGCAAACACTCAGAAACGCTTCAAGTCCCAAGTACTAATATCTGTGAAGCTAAATTAGCTTACACATCTCAGGAGCCCTCGAAAGATTCTTCACTTAAAAAACAAATTACCATTAATTACTATCAACACTAGAACAGAAACCTAATCTGAAGCAAATATCAGTCATCTTTTTGGTGACTCACTACCGGAATTCGCATTTCGCAACTCTAGAATTGACGTCACTGTTCAGATAGACTAGGTTATGGCAATCTTGGGAATATATATTCAAAAACAGTTTTCGCACTTCTTGTTTACCATACTTAACATTCGCTGCGGGCTTCCTAGAACGAATCACGCCACATGTAATTGCAGATACACTCATTGTTATGGTAAATGAATTTCAGAACACTTTTCGCACTTTGGCTCATTTGCATAAAGAGGTTTTTTCCACACATTCACAAAGTTTCCAAACTCGCATCTTTAGATCTCTCGACAAAGTGAATGGCTTACTTCAAATGATACGCACATAACATTCATAACAAACTTATATCTGAGAGATCCCAGATTATTGAACAATTGAAATGCGATTTGCGTTGATTTTCGAAGTCTTTTTATTTGTAAATATTTATTTTCCTTTTATTTGCCTCGAACGGAGAGCAAGTCTATACGTAAAGTTGTGTGTGACTTATAACTTATGTCGTACCGTGCTAAATACCTAAACCTACACAAATGAAGATACGAAAATGAGGGGATGTGGGTGTTTGGGTGTTAGGTGTTGGGTGTTGGGTGTTGTGCGAGTGTTAACCATTGCGGTGCAGGTGAGTTGGTCTGGTGTGAAGATACAGATAATGATAGAATAGAATAGGGTTTAATTTAAAAAACGATTATCGACTATGTCCCGCCCTCGCATAGACTGACGCAAGATTAAGTGACGATCCTTCCCGGTGATCCGCGAGCCCAGTATCCCGATCCTCGTGGTCCCTAGTTGGCCGTCTTCTTGGACTTCTTCATCCGCTCGCCCTCGTTCTCGTTCTCATCCAATTTGGCGCTCTCCGTGCTGCTGGACTCGGCATCGTACTCCAGCTCGGGATCCGGAACCTCGGCGTAGTGCACATGGCCCACCATGGTGGCTCCGGCCACCACGCCGTCCTTGAACTCCTCGGGTCCGCCCAACTGGGAGGCGTGGCTGCCATCGCCGTACTTCTCGAGGGTGCGACGCACCAGCTCCTTGGAGGGCTGCTTCATGTTCCAGGCCCATCCCAGCTTGTGGAACGCGTCCAGCACCATGGTGGTGAAGTTGACGGTGTAGTTGCCCAGCTCAGCTGCC